CACAGCGCATGCTGAAAACGAGAGCCTCTCGGAGAGTGCAGTGCTTCTGTACAACTGAGCCACTGGTTGGCACGCTACAATACGCTGTGATACGATATTCACCAACAAGTCAGTTCATTCTGCATAACAGGACAGTTTGAAGGGCGTCATATTATGGCAAGCCATTCGTTATTTGACTTACCGTAACTAGCTATCCATTTATTTTAGCTAGCTGCCCAATTTCCCTAGTTAGCTGCCCATATGATTCAGCTTGTTAACAGAAATTTCAATCGCTAGCTGTCATTTTTGCCAGCTAGCTGCGCTTACAACCAACTTAGCTGCACTAAAAATCCAGCTAGTGAGACTGAGCGCTCGTCGTTTGTTGAGAACTTCTGATAGTAATAATGATGACGGCAGCACTTGTAAGCTGTGAGGAAGGAACTAGCACTATTTCAGTTTCAGTAATGTTGTCATTCCCCCAGAGCCATTCTTTGAAAGCAAACCCTCAACAGCTAATGGTATACAAGAACCATCATTTCCACCTCAGGAGCAGTTGGGCAGTTTACAATAATCAAATCAGCAACCAAGCCATTCCTGGTGCTATGCGGTCACTAACCCTGCATTATGGCAAAGCATTTCCAGTGACATCGTTAGGTCAGTACTTATTGAAAGAGGAGCAGTCCCCCTTCCAAAACCACGGTGAAAACTACCCAGCTTCAGTCCGAGATAGAGCGCTTGGTGGAAAGACTAGAAGTTTCAACAATGAACTTCTGAACTGTATATTGCGAAATGGGCAAACGGTTTCAAGACAGTGGCTACTGTACTCACCCTCTTAAGGTTGTGTGTTACTGTTTTGCATGCACAAACTGTTATCCAGCAAGATCGATGTTTTTAGTCAGGGGTTTAGTGACAGGAAGCACTCTGAAAGAATAGGGGAACGCAAAAAGAGTGCAGAACACAGATCATGCATGCTTGCCTTGCACCGGCGGACAAAGGGCAGTGCTATAGATGCAGATCTCATGCAGCAACTTGATGAGGAACGTAAATACTGGAGGGACATTTTGAAAAGACTTTAGCAGTGATCAAGTTCTTGGTTGAAAGAGGACTTGCGTTTAGGGGAGATGTGTCTACCCATAACGGTAATTTCCTTGGCATCCTAGAATGCTATCACAATTTGACCCATTCTTAGCTGAACATATTAAAACGTTTGGCGGAAAAGGAAAAGGCACGGTGTCCTATTTGTCATCGGCAATATGTGAAGAACTCGTTGAGCCAATGGGTCAAAAAACACTCCAAACAATAGCAGATGAGTTTCGGGATGCCAAATATGTTTCAATAATTGTTGACTCCACCCCAGACCTGTTACATGTTGACCAATTGACGTTCATATTCCGGTTTGTTAACAGCAGCAGGAATGTGGTGGAACGATTCCTGATGTCATAGTGGAAAAGGTAAAGGCACTCTCCACTGCATATCGATCAGACCTGGACATGAACTTTGCCAACGAACTCATCCAATTCAAGTCGTTCATGTCTGACTCTGAGGGTGAGAAGTGCCCAACTAAATTGCCTGAGACGTTGCAGGCACTTAATCTGCTGTCAGTGTTCCCCACTGTTTTCGTGGCACTTGGGATTTTTCTAACTTTGCCAGTGGCAAACTGCCAGGGTGAGCGGACATTTTCCCTTTTAGGCAGAATTAAAAATGAGCTGCAGAGCAGCATGTGCCAAACACGTCTCAGCTCATTGTCACTTATGTCAATAGATTCAGACCTTGACGATCTAGTGGATGATTTTGCGAGGAGGAAGGCAAGAAAGACACCAATATAGGAAAGCGGGCAGGGAGGGGTCTCTAAAAGACACGTGCCCAGGGGCCTCACGGGACCATGATCCGGCCCTGCCGGTAGTAGACGGGGGGGGGGGGGGGCAGGCCTGGGGAATTTCCATAGGAAAGGGGGGCGGAGGTGCCGGCGGTGCTATGTTGGTAGATGAAACGTGAAGACGCATTTTGGATCTGTTGTAGTGGAATGAATGTGTTATGGCTGGGAGACCGAGTTAGGGGGGAGAGAATTACGGCAGTCCAACCGAGGGAAGATGAGCGAGTGTATTTAGTCGTTCGGCGGTGGGCTGTGGGATGGGAGGGCGAATTTTGGGAATGGTGACAAAAGGTGGAAACAATGGGGGCGGCGGGCGATGGCGGAGATGTTGAGAGGCGAGGGTACAGGGAGGGAGGATTCGAATAGGACGCCAAGGTTGTGGGCAGAGAGGGGGACCAAGGGGTTCAGCGAGATGGGGTGGGAAGGTGGTGGGGGTGTGGGTGGGTGGGTGGAGGGGAAAAAGCAGCGGGGGGGGGGGGAATAAAGAGAAACCTGGGTTGGTTTCAGAGGGGTTGATGGCAAGGAGGAGGGTGTGGCGACATCCGAGGCTGAAGGGCGGCTAGGTGCGGGCTGACGACGCGAGAGAGGTCCCGGAGTGAAGGCGGGGAAGAAGATCTGGAGAAGTTAAAAGGAGGAGGCGGTGAGTGTCTCGAGAGGGGGAGGGGGGTGTAGAGAGGAGAAAGAGAAGAGAAGGGGGCCCAGGACAGAGGTTTGGGGAAACATCTCCTGTGACGGGTGGTGGGAGGAGGAGTGCAGGAGGAGTGATTGACGGAGACCGAGGATGAGTGTGAGATGATGTGATTGGTGCCAGGATAAAGCGGTGCTGGAAATCCGGCTTGCCTCCGTATTCTTGTACGGGGAAGTTGTGTTTTCGGGTCCTTACAGCAGTTTCAGTACGGGCAACATTTTTGTTGCCCGTATTTTCATAGCTGTCCAGTAAGGGTGCACGGGTCGGAACTTTGACAACAACAAACAGTACAAAATCACGATAGGAGTGCAAAGTGCAGGAAAGGTAAGCACATCACTAAACAAATATGTACAAATAAAACGAAACAATTTTTGTTATTTTATCAGGTAAAGCCCACGGAGTTATTATCTTCTTTCACAGAAGCGACCTGGCCACAAATGACAGCTCAACGAAGTGGCTTAACACGTGGAAACTTATAGCAGCCACTATAATCTAAGCGCGTGTTTCTCAAAGTGCAGGGTTTATGCCCCCTGTCTACCTGCAACACCGCATCTCCCTCCAATCCTGGGGCACATTCTGTAGCACTTCGATCCACGGCAAGGGCAAGACTTGTCCAGCTCTATGACACCCCCCCACCCCCGTACCGCTCCCATTCTGCTGTAACGTTCACCGATGGCTTCCTCTATCGCAGGCGACATTGGCATGTGTAATATGGATTGGGGTAGGCGCCGGACTCAAGACTCACGGCAGTGGTGGATTGTTACGATGCTATTGTCACAATGCTGCATTGATACGCAGTGTCATTATTATTGTCACTGCTGTACTGTTAGGGCTATTATGGTCTCTAGCACTTCTAGTCCTTATTGCAGTGCTGTGATTCATTATCACTACAGCATTAATATTATAGGCAGCTAATTCGTCAATAACACTGTGGCCATAAAAGGAAACGGGCAAACTCTGGACCGGGTTTTAGAAGTTCAGGGTCTCATCAGCAGTCAGGCTTTGATTCAATCTCACTGCAGGTCACCTAGCCAAATGGTTATAGGTAAAGGATACCTCTCTCTGTCTGGTCGATGTGGGTCGTAGTTATGGGGCCGTTTTCTCGTGTTGAGCAAACGCTGCCCCCAGAATGCTGTGTGGCTGATGAGATGTGTAAAAAAAACTTGTATATGTGTTCTGTAGAAAGATGGATCATGTTCTAGATGCTTCTTGTCCTGCTTATTTAAATTGTTTAATGTAGGCGATACAAATTCCTGCAAAGTCGTTACTTTTGGACCAATCTTAAACAACAACAACAAGTATACAAAAATAAGAATCGGTTTTGACCCTTCCTGGCAATAAAACAGGCGTCAAGATACTCTTTGGGTCTTTCGGTAAAGTCACGTAGATAGATAGAAAAATAAAAAAATATAAAAAAATCACGACGTTTCGATCGCAACACAAGTAGTCGTCTTCAGGTGAAAAAAAATGTTCAAACAACAAATAGAAACCTTTTGTGAGGAATCGGGCCCGCATTAACCACACGCTTGAACGCCGTGCGGCGCGTTACAAGTTGAAAATGATTGTCATCGGGTTCACGGTTAAAAGTGCCCCGTGCTCGGGCCATTATTTCGTTCGAGCTATTTGTCGGCACCCCCCCCCCCCTTCACGGCGTCTCTGTTGGCGACTTGAGCGAGCGACCGTGAACGGCGGTCGTGTTTCCGGCTTGAGTCGCCGTGGTTACAGGTGTCGGGGATGCCCGCGGCGTAGCGTCATAGTAAATGTGTACAGGTCCGGTCGTTTATGTACCGGGGCGTGTGTTAAAAGGAGGTTCATAGCTCATCGGATTCCTCCGGTCTAAGTAAAGATGCTGATTGATTTTGAAGTCCAGCGCCTAACCGATATACTTTGAACCAGAGTAAACCCTACTTTAACGGTACACAATCAATTGCACAGGCATGCGTGTAGACTAGTGTGTGCAGGATGTCAGTTGCGTAGAGCAGGGTTGCGTTTATAATTTTTTAGTTTTTTTAAGAAGCTGCCAGCACGAGCGAAAGGTCAGACGTGGGGTCGACAGCAGCATGCGGGCGCAACCCCCGTAAGCGTGTGGCGAGAGCTTTACCCCACGCAAACTGCTAAAACCTACGAAGTAGTACGACGCCTCCTGTCTACAGGCATCAAACCCCCGGTGACTCCGTGTGGGTGACTTATCGCACAAGTGCCCCATTATTGCATTGGGAAACAATTGCATTCCCCGCCCCTGCGCGGAATAATGCGCGGCGAGACGCTGCATGGACGCATTAGCGCGCCAGTTCTTCGACAACTGCTTTTTGTGTTTAGTTTAGTTTGTCGTCCTTCCCTGCCCCCCGCACCTCCGATTTAGCACGGTTGGCTACGTACGGTGCGGAGGAATTTCAACGCACGCGCGCGCACAACGTACCATCGCGTCGCATCGCCCTGCCACTCCCTCCCCTCGCGCAGACAGCCATGGAGGACGATAGAGGTGGCGGCGGCGGCGGCGGCAGTAACACCGGCGAGCCCGGTGGCCAGGGGGACAGCATCCTGTCGTTTAAGGACGAGACCAAGAAGGTGCTCGAGATGTTCCTGCGTCGCAGCCTGAGCGCGCCCGAGGAGACGGCGGTCGGTCGCGTCGGTGGCTGCTACCACTCGGATTACAACCACCGGCACCAACGGCGCCATCACCGGCGGCAGGGCAATGGCTCCGTCGTCAAAAGAGGTGGGCGGCGCCAGCGGCGTGTGCGCTCTCCGATCGCCACCGGTTACGGTAACCCAGCTGTGCTGTTTCTGGCTTGCGGGAGAAGTCCCGGAGGATAGGACTGTCGATAAACTTTTTGCATTTGGTCGTCGCGTTCAAACTTGTTGTTCCCGCCGTTTTAGGACCGTGAGGCGGAAGTATGGTGCGAGTGGGAGTGAGGCCGTGCTTTGTGGCTCTTCCCACGGTTGTCATTATTATTTTATTCTTAAAAGGCCATCCTGAGTGCGATCATCTTTTGACTACACCAGTTGCTAAGGAGCCGAATTCGGAAATAAACGACAGGGTGTACATACGCGTGTTGAACTTCTTTTGCGTCGTACATAGCCAACCGTTGCTTAATGGGAGGATAAAGTTTGACTTGAAAGTGGACGTCGCTTTTGCGCTCGCTGGTCCACGTTTGTGTTTTCCATGGTGCGGGTTTATTGGGTTTGCAAGTCCAGCTTTGTGGGTTCGTGGCCTAGGTTTATGGGTTCATAGTCCGAGTGTCAGGATTCTCAGTCCGGTGTCTGCAGCGTCTAGGGTGCGTTCATGGTGCAGCGTGTGCCGTTCGACCCTGTGTTCATGTGAAGTGCACCATGAACACCCGTCTGATTTAAGGAATGTGCTGCGGTTTTGAAAATCGGGATAAATATGCATTTAATGTTTTGTACCCTGGACACTTCTTACTGGTTTGTCCATCTCAAAATTGTCTTGATGTAATAACGTCCTGTGCTCCCTAACGAATTGTATTGTGAAGAGCGCTATATTAAAGAGAAGTATTGATCGTTCGGTTGATACTGGGAAGGTTTAAATGTCTCTGTGCGAGGCTCATACCACAAACGTCCTTTTATATGAGAAATTGTGAATAGAGGCAGACCCCGATTTACGGACACCCAACTTAGGAAACCGGCCTTCCATGAAATATATATTTTTCAACATTGACTTAAAACGCGAACTCGCACTTGCAAAACTGAACCGTGGAACTATTTTGTTCAGCGGAGCAATCCTCCGCGAGGTGTAGTGAGTCGGCCCTGCCCTGGGATTGAGTGTTTGTGTGTGTGTGTGTATACACAATCAGTCCAGGACACGGTGGACGTCGAGCGGAAAGACGAATTCTACGAGAAGGTGGCGCGGCAGCTGGAGCGTTTGGCAAATCAGCATCAGCTGCGCACAGCACAGTCTCACGACGTGGACTCCTGGGTGTCGCCCGATGGGGTGCCCAGACCCCTGCCAGGAACTCCCATCGAGGGGTGGAGGATCACGCCTGAGCCTGGCCCATCGCCGGGCGAGCCACTCGCACACACGCGAGTGGAACGTGTCGCGAAGCCCACCCCATCGCCGGACAGGACGCTGTCACACGCGTCGGCGAAGGATGGCAGCAGGGTGCCGAGGAAGGACCACAAAGTACCTGCCGGTCAGTGTCTGGTGTTGCTTTCACCCGCGTGTGTGTATTTTTAACTTCTTTCGCAACGTACGTAGCCAACCGTGCTAATCGGAGGTGCAGGGAAGGACAACAAACTGAACAAAAAAAGCAGTTCTAAAGAAATACGTTTTTAATCCAGTTTTAAAAGTGCACAGCTCCAGTTGCTTCCGAATACCGGAAGGAAGAACGTTCCAGACGTCCTCGGAGGCGCGTCTGAAAGCGTGCGATGCAGTGACCGTCTGTTTTCGACGGCTTAACCAAAAGCCGCCGGCTGTGAGGATGACCGGAGTTCGTGGTGATGATGGTTTCTGCTCCTTGTCGAGATCGGCAAGGCATCGTGGTTCGTTTGTGGCAAGCGTTTTGTGTGTGTGTGTGCAACGAGCGTGACCTTGTAAGTGCGACCTAATCGGTTGTGACCGGCGAATGCGACGACGACGTTGCAGGCACCAATAGCGGGTCCATGACGAGCTCGGCGCATCGCGATTGCGTGGAGGTGGACCCCGATTGGATGGAGACGCACGAGAGGATCAACAATGCCGAGGAGAAAAAGCACGGATTCAAAACGCGATTCAAAAAGCTCATCCGGTTCGTGGTGGGGCAGGGGTGGGGGTGGGGGGGGTCAATAGTTGACGGTTGTCTGGGAGGGTCAGGAGTTCGGAGGTCGCCAGAGCGAATTGTTTGGGCGCCGCGAGATGGGCTTTGTAACGTTTTAATGATTGCGATCGATCGTTACGCTCGCGTGTTAGAGTTTGTTAAGGCGTGCGCATCGTATAACTGTTCATCGATTCCAACGAAGGTCGAAAGTGTGAATGCGCTTGCCCTGTCAATCCGTCGAAGATAACCCACATAAAGACGATCCAGTGTGAACAAAGTTTGAAAAAAAAAGCTGTCTTGCTATTTAGAAAAACCCGGTAGATTTGACTAAAAGATTTCCCTGAATATCCTGACTACGGAAATCCAACGATAATTTCAAGATTCACCTTTGCCAGACAATACGAGCACACCTCCCCCCCCCCCCCCCCCGCTATCCTGTTGCGATGATGTCACCAGGCGTATGACAGCTGGTCGTCATCTCGTCATGCTGTTCCAAGTATATTTTTGAGTTTGCATGTCTCTCTCTCTCTCTCCCCGTGTTCGCATGGATTTTTAATCTCTGGGCCCTCCTGTTTTTTCCCACCATATTTAGAACATGCATTGAGATTATTTAGATTATCTTGATGCTTTAAATGTCTAAACGATTGGGGGCCACTTTGTTGAGCTTTCATATGTGGCCATCTGTGAACGAGAGCTTCACAGCTCATCGGATTCCTCCAGTATGAGTAATTGTTATGATTGCGATTCTGTAGCAGTCGCTGCTGATTGTTAAACCCTTGCGAGGACTACGGAAAGGGATCCGCGCATGTGTGGGAAAGCGCTGCGGAAACCCAACGCTCGCGCACGATTGCCTTGCTTGAAGGTTTTTTTTGCTCGTGTCATCAAAGCCCTCAGGTGCGACGCTCGCATATCATTCGCATGCCGCTTGAAGTTAATTTAGAGTCCATAGATTCTTATGCGCGCGCAATTTTTGGCGGACGCAGAAGCGAGAGCAAAGAAGTCACGTTGGCGAATTTGAATTCATACGTTGGGCCACCACGATAATTACGACGGTGCTCTTGACTTGGTGACGGTGGTAACAGTTGTGCCGTTGATGGTGATCGTGCCCATTATAGTTACGAAGTTCGGTAACAATCATGCGTGGCGAAACAATGCGACCAAAAATATAAAGGGTCTGTAGAGTCAATGCACCATTTGGATGACAGTTTTCCAACAGTAACTGTTTAAGCAAGGCAAGCTTTGCAGTGTATTTACCTTCGATGAGTATCGCCAGCGGGTTGTCACACGCTTAGTACAACAGCCGTCTCTTGTTGATCGTGTCCCGTTGGCACGAGCCTTGGCGAACGCGACGGCGTTCGATCGGACGAAGGTGGCAGTTTTCGCTCGTGTCCTCCCGTAGCTGGGAAAGTATCAAGCACGGCAAGAAGAAGAGGAAGAAGAAGAAGGAGGAGGAGGAGGAATCGGCGGACATGATGGTGACGCAGGGTTGGTCCGACCGTGACGAGGAGATGCTGAGGGGTCGGGCTCACCGGGGGGGGGTGCCCCTCGGCGAGGCGGAGGACGAGGCGGAGGACGAGGCGGAAGAGGAGGAGCGGAGGAGGAGTCCGCCACAGCCTGCCACGCCGCAGCTGCCCGTGAGCGGCACCGGCACCGTCGGTCACAGCGGCAAAACCAAGTGGCGAGGGTGAGGCTCGAGAGATCTCTGCCGGACATCTGCGACGGAGCACTTCGCAGCTCATTGGGATTCCTCCGGGCTATAAAGACTAATTCTGAATTCGGTGATCAAGGGGGCAAAGGCTGGAGTTGAGTAGCGGTTATTGTCCGAGTCTATGTTGCTGTATTGAATGCTGCCACCACGGTGGAGTGGTTGGCACGCTGGACTTGCAGTACGGAGGTTCGTCGGTTCAATCTCCCGGTGTGGCAGGTGGAACGACACACACCTGTAATCCGGCACTGTGGAGGCAGCGAGAGTTGGTGGATCGCAGAACAAACCCTCATCCTGCCTAGGATTTTATAGAGGGCTTTCGTCAAAGCCTTTTACAAGAATGAAAAAATACTACATTAGTCTTGGCTGATGGGGAAAAGGGATTGGGTTTGAGCTTCGGGGGGAGGTTGATGAGAGAGAAAGCGAGGGGCGAGGTTTAGGAGGCTGAAGGTGGAGGATGGTTGAGGTTTTAAAGATGGGGACAGGAAGCAGTAGAGGGATACGCTATTAAAAAAAGATGAGTCTTAAGGGAGGAACGAAAACTGGTGAGTGAAGTTGCCTGTTTTGATGTGAAGTGGAAGTTTATGCCAAATGGAGGGGAGCCAAGGAGGGAAAAGTAGCGGAAACGTGACTGAGCACGGGGGGTGGGCTGGGGACGCGTAGTGAGGGATAACAGATCGTGAACGCAGGGGCCAAGATGGGACGTAATAAGAAATAAGAGACGCGAGATAGGGTTGGGGCAAAATGTCGCTAAGTCTTTTCCGGTGGGCGTCTAGGAGCCAACAGCTCCCTGGATCAGCGGGAGATGGCGGTGTAGCAAGTGGACCAAATTGCCATTCTGCGTCAATTGGGTCCACTGTGCTCGAGGGTTTTTTTCGGGCTCCTCCGGTTTCCTCCCACGTGCACAATAAACAGCTCATCCATTCGTTTAACTTCTGCGACTGCAATAGAGGTTTTTGGGTTAGATCGCGTAAACGTAAATGTGTCGTTAAACCCGTCACCACCCGACACAGCCAACTAGTAAGGGTTGTCACGTAAACAGAACATGGCCAATTCGTCCGAGTACAGCACACCGGTGTGTTGGAGAACCAAGCCACAACATTTACACAATCTGAGTATGACGATTCGCCAGTAATTACAACTAGCTTAATCAGATTTGTGGAGATTTTCGATGTTGTTATCCACTTATTCGTCTGTTCAGAAGCAGAGTGGATCTCATCCGTTCCTCCTTTAAAAGAGTGAAGGCAGCAGCGGCGGCTGCTGGGTGTTTACGACGTGGGTCGATGGTTTGGCATTCGTGGCCGCAACACTCGCAGGCCGCCGAATCTTTGACGGCGCCAGTGCCATGAGGTGGCCGCGTCAGCCACGCGGCCCGGTTCCCCGATTCGGTTGATAGTCGTTTCGATGGGGGCCGGGGGCCTGCGGAGTTGGAACGAGAGGCGGAGGTGGTCACGCGCGCCGTGCAAAACTTTTCACAGGATCGGATTCTTCTCAATGAGAAGGAAATCCAAAGCGGCCGTTGCCTCGGGCGAGCCCGCCCCGACGTCCCCTCGGCCGTCCACGCTGCCGCTTAAGAACATCTTCCGGCCCAGCAAGAAGAAGGGGCAAAGCGCTGGTAAAGGGCACACCTCCCACCCACCCCCCCCCCCCCCCCCCCCCCCCCCCCCGTGTCTCTTGTCAAAATACTCTTCCGAAGAGATAGCTGCTCGACCCGAGCTATAAATCCTCTGACACTTGTACCGTCTTTGTATATTGTTCGGCTTTTGGCGTTCTCTGTGGTCTGGCACTGGCTGATGAGACTAGGCCCTAAAGAAGGCTGTTGTCTCTGGTGTAGGCCAATCAGTTTCAAAGACTATGCCCATAGTCTTATATGTTGTTCCCATGTTTTGCCACAAGTGCGTGTGGTTAATGCCGACTTGCTGCCGGGCAATGGGTTTCTCTTTGGTGATTGAACACCTTGACGCCTCTTGTCTTATTGCCAGGAAGGATGACGCCTATTATTTTTTTCATCATTTTGATACTGCCAAAAAATGCCCATAGATAAACCGCTGATACACTTTATCATTTATCTGTGCGTGTGTATATATATGTGTGTGTGTTTTTATCTCCACTCCCACAAGCCCCAGTTGGTGATGGGGCAGTTGTGGAGAGAGTGGAAAGCTTTCCATACCTGGGCAATGTGCTCATGACCGGCTCCATTTTGACAGCAGAGGTCTAACTCCGAGTCAGTCGAGCGGCATTATATTTTCATCGGCTGCGTAACGCTGTGTGGAAGCTCCCTGGTCTGTCGCTCCACACGAAGCTTCGGGTCTTCTTGGCCACGGTCATGCCCTCCTCTATGCTTGCGAAACGTGGACCCCCCCTAATGGAACATCTTCACCGGTTAGAAATAATAAGGCTGACCGGCCAACGATCCATCCTGGGTTTAACCAGGCTGGATTGTGTGAGGAGCTCACAAATCCTTGAAAGATCTGGACAAAGTCTCATCAGTGAGCTCCTCCGGCAGGCAAAGCTGCATTGACTGGGTAATGTAGCCCGCATGCCTAACCACATGCCTTAAAAAGCTTTTGTTCGGCCAGATAGAGGGGGCTAAATGGGCGCAGCACGGGCTAGAGAAGAGATGGAGTGATGTGGTACAGGAGGACGTGGAGCTGAGTGGACTTGCCGATGACCGGTACCAGCAGTGTCAAGATCGGCCTCTTTGGAGGACGCTACTGAGCAGTTGGAGGCAGTCGCCCTCCAGCAACAACGTAGGGCAGAGGAGCGACGCTCACAACAACGAACGGAGCGCCGGGCGGCTAAGACACAGAAAGTTGGCACAGTGGAGGGCACAGGTGGTGCATCGGCCTGTCCATCTCAGTCATCTCAGTCAGTCGAACCATGCCACCTGGGTCTGTCCCGTGACCTGGCAAAGGGCAACACTTCACGTGGCCTCATCGTGCATATAGCCTGGCACAAGCGCCGTGCTGACGTCCCCGCCACTTGGTGGCGAATGGAAGTTGTTGTGTATATCTGTGTGTGTATATAGAACACACAAACCACCACGATAAGGTTATGATCCTTCGGTGGGGTATATACGTATCTGATGCGTGTGTGTTTATCTGTGTGCGCGCAATCAGCCCAGGAAACGGTTGACATCGAGAAGCCCGAAATCGACGAGAAAGTGACGCGGCAGCTGGAGCGTCTGGCAAACGAGCTGTACACGGCACAGTCCCGGCACCTAGAATCCGGTGGGGTGCCCGGACACCCGCCGGGCACTCCCGTCGAGGAGCGGAGGAGCACGCTCGATCCTGGCCCACAGCTCTCCGGCCCCGTACGCATCGTGGGGGGAGCCTCCGACCAAACAATCCAGGGGGAATTGCGGTACGGCGACCGCACGCTCGTGCAGTCCGTCGAGGATCCCAGACAGTCGCAGGGCAGGACGCTGTCGCGCGCGTTGGCGAGTGATTGTGGCAAGGTGTCAAAGACGGACCACAAAGCAGCTGCCGGTCAGTGCCCGGTGTTGTGTGTGTGCGCGGTGGTGTGTGTGTGTGTGTGCGCGGTGTTGCTGTGTGTGTGTGCGGTGGTGTGTGTGTGTGTGTGTGCGCGGTGTTGCTGTGTGTGTGTGTGTGTGGTGTTGCTGTGTGTGTGTGTGTGCGGTGTTGCGGTGTGTGGTGTGTGTGTGTGTGCGGTGTTGCTGTGTGTGTGTGTGTGCGGTGTTGCGGTGTGTGTGTGTGTGGTGTGTGTGTGTGTGCGGTGTTGCTGTGTGTGTGTGTGTGTGTGCGGTGTTGCAGTGTGTGTGTGTGTGGTGTGTGTGTGTGTGTGCGGTGTTGCTGTGTGTGTGTGGTGTTGCTGTGTGTGTGTGTGTGTGTGCGCGGTGTTGCTGTGTGTGTGTGTGTGCGCGGTGTTGCTGTGTGTGTGTGTGTGCGCAGTGTTGCTGTGTGTGTGTGTGCGCGGTGTTACTGTGTGTGTGTGTGTGCGTGCACGGTGTTGCTGTGTGTGTGTGTGTGCGCGGTGTTGCTGTGTGTGTGTGGTGTTGCTGTGTGTGTGTATGGTGTTGTGTGTGTGTGTGTGCGCGGTGTGTTGCTGTGTGTGTGTGCGGTGTTGTGTGTGTGTGCGGTGTTGTGTGTGTGTGTGTGGTGTTGCTGTGTGTGTGTGTGGTGTTGCTGTGTGTGTGTGTGTGCGGTGTTGCTGTGTGTGTGCGTGGTGTTGCTGTGTGTGTGTGCGCGGTGTTGCTGTGTGTGTGTGTGTTGCTGTCTGTGTGTGTGTTGCTGTCTGTGTGTGCGCGGTGTTCCGGTGTTGCTGTCTGTGTGTGTGTTGCTGTGTGTGTGTGTTGCTGTCTGTGTGTGTTGCTGTGTGTGTGTGTGTTGCTGTGTGTGTGTGTGTGTGTTGCTGTCTGTGTGTGTGTTGCTGTGTGTGTGTGTGTTGCTGTGTGTGTGTGTGTTGCTGTCTGTGTGTGTGTTGCTGTGTGTGTGTGTGTTGCTGTGTGTGTGTTGCTGTCAGTGTGTGTTGCTGTGTGTGTGTGTTACTGTGTGTGTGTGTTGCTGTGTGTGTGTGTGTTGCTGTCTGTGTGTGTGTGTTGCTGTGTGTGTTGCTGTGTGTGTGTGTGTTGCTGTGTGTGTGTGTGTTGCTGTGTGTGTGTGTGTTGCTGTGTGTGTGTGTGTTGCTGTCTGTGTGTGTGTTGCTGTCTGTGTGTGTGTTGCTGTCTGTGTGTGTGTTGCTGTGTGTGTGTGTGTTGCTGTGTGTGTGTGTGTTGCTGTGTGTGTGTGTGTTGCTGTGTGTGTGTGTGTTGCTGTGTGTGTGTGTGTGTTGCTGTGTGTGTGTGTGTGTTGCTGTGTGTGTGTGCGTGCGGTGTTGCTGTGTGTGTGTGCGCGTGCAGTGTTGCTGTGTGTGTGTGTGTGGTGTTACTGTGTGTGTATGTGTGTGTGTGTTACTGTGTGTGTGTTACTGTGTGTGTGTTACTGTGTGTGTGTTACTGTGTGTGTGTGTGTGTTACTGTGTGTGTGTGTGTGTTACTGTGTGTGTGTGTGTGTGTTACTGTGTGTGTGTGTGTGTGTTACTGTGTGTGTGTGTTACTGTGTGTGTGTGTTACTGTGTGTGTGTGTGTGTTACTGTGTGTGTGTGTTACTGTGTGTGTGTGTTACTGTGTGTGTGTGCGCACGCGCGCATGTCCGTAAATGAGCGCGGCGCCCGCCAGCCGATTCGGTGTTGGGAGAGGAATTGTCACAACGCTTGCGGATCGCTCTCCAACGTACCAGTGTGCTGCAGCAAACGAAACAAATTCTTTGTGTTCGTTCACCTCATTTTGCCTCCCTCCGTCTCCTTCCACGTCACCTCTCATCCTCTTCATTTCCAATCTCCTCTCTGTCTCTGTCCCTCCTTCTCCCTGCGCCCAATCCCCGTGTGTGCTCCTTCCCCCTCCTTGCGTCACTCCACTGGAATCAATTTCCCCTGTACGTTGAGCAGCACCGCCCATAGACTCAGCACCGCCCATAGACTCAGCACCGCCCATAGACTCAGCACCGCCCATAGACTCAGCACTGCCCATAGACTCAGCACTGCCCATAGACTCAACACTGCCCATATACTTGATTCAAAACTTTTGTTATTGCAGGAATTAATCTTTGTTTTTTTTCTCGGTAAAGTCACGTATACATAAGAAATAATAAAATAACATAATAGCGTACAACGTTTTGGTTGCAACACAAGCAGCCATCATCAGCTACAGAAGAGCTAAATTTACGAGAGAGAGGAAACACATAACCCCAGATGTATATACAGAAACCCAAGTAGGGGGAACTAACACAGATACAACAGGGGACACAGAGAGAGAATCATACCAGACGAACAGGGTTTAGCAAAATTTGGAAACCATATAAAGCAACACATACGGTCGGTCAAAACACAATTAACGCATAGTCTGGTTGATTCCGCTATTTCAAAGATTGCTAAATTGCAAGTTAATTATGAAATTTTAAAATACAGACCGCCCATAGACTCAACACTGTCCAGAGACTCAACACTGTCCAGAGACTCAACACTGTCCAGAGACTCAACACTGCCCAGAGACTCAACACTTCACCATAGACTCAACACTGCTCATAGACTCAACACTGCCCATAGACTCAACACTGTCCAGAGAAAATTTTGATTTAAAGCTTTCGTGACTGCAGTAATTCATTTTCTTAGTTTTTTCGGTAAAGTCACGTTGAAGAGAAACAACAAAATAACAAAATATATATAAAACAATAAAAAATTCTCACGACGTTTCGACCATAACTCAAACGGTCATCATCACACACCAAAAAGTTAGACGTTAATAAAGTCGTAATTAATCGCAGTAACAGTTCTATTTCCGATGGTCTGAAATCCGTTTTAGCTAAAGGTCTAAACTTTGCAGTCACACCTAAACACATACCAGTTAATGATATAATTGCCCAAGTAGACGTTGCTCTCAGGGGCCTGGGTCACATCGCTGCAGACGTAGCAAGATCTGAAATCGCTGCAACCCTCAAAAACGCTAAGATGCCAGCTAGCAACCTCAGCAAAGATGAGCGTTTTGAATTATATAAATTAAAAAAGAGGAATGATATTGTAGTTCTCTCAGCTGACAAAGGCAATGCTACTGTCATCATGGATAAAATAGAATACAACAACAAAATTAAAGAATTACTCAACGATGGTAGTTATACAAAAATAAAAAGAGATCCCACCAACAGCCTCGTCACACAAACCAGCAAAATAATTTCTGATTCAACCGCATTAATTGATCAATCTAAACAGTTTTCGTTGAAACCTTCTGCTGCCAGGCCACCAAGATTATACGGCTTACCAAAAATACATAAAGTTGATACACCTCTTCGTCCCATAGTCTCTACTATCAGCTCCCCCACCTACAAACTAGCTCGTTTTTTGTTTGAAATCCTGCGTCCTTTCACTGGAAAGACCACCTCTGCGGTACAAAATTCTACTCACCTGGTATCAACAATCAAGGGTATTTCCCTGTCCCCAGACGACCTGCTTGTCAGTTTTGATGTAGTTTCCTTATTCACCAAGGTTCCTGTACCTGACACCATTGCAATCATTGAAGACTTGGTTCATCAAGGACTAAACACTGAGGTACCCCCCCTGGTGAGACACTGTTTAACCAATACATACTTCACTTGGAATGGAACTTTCTACAAACAAACTGAGGGCACCCCAATGGGCTCCCCCCTTTCTCCAGTTATAGCTAACATTTTCATGGAGAAATTTGAGACTGACGCCATCCAGACTGCCACTCTGCGCCCAACCTTATGGAAGAGGTACGTGGATGACACTTTTGTCATCTGGCCACATGGCCGGCCTGCTCTAGACCAATTCTTCGACCACATCAATTCCATACACCCAGCCATCAGATTTACCATGGAAGTCGAAATAGATGGCAAGATACCTTTTTTGGATGTCCTAATTAAAAAGAGACCTGATGGTTCAATGAGCCACTCTGTCTACAGGAAAGCTACCCATACGGATGCTTATCTGAAACCGGATTCCCACCACCATCCATCACAGAAGAATTCTCTCATCAAGACTCTGTATCATAGAGCCCAATGCATATCCGACCAGGAACACATAAGCAGTGAACTCAAGCACGTACACCAAGCTCTTAGGGCTAATGGTTACTCCGACTATACAATCCGCAAAGCTATCACTCAAACCATGAAGAAGAACCCTCTTGAGGAGCCTTTCAAAACCATCACTTTACCCTACATTGCTGGGATCACAAAAAAGATCTCCAAAATCTTGAATAAACACAAGATCCAGGTCCGTTTCAACACATTACATAAAATCCGTGATCTGGTTCCGTCTGTAAAAGATGTGATTCCGGACATACAATACCCTGGTGTCTACAAACTAAGTTGCCTCTGTGGTAGTAGTTACATTGGAGAAACCAAACGCCATGTCTCGGACCGCATTCGTGAACATAAAGCAGACCTTAAACACGGTAGGACCAACACCTCGGCCGTAGCAGATCATTGTTCTAATTCAGTAGGCTCACATGCCATTGACTTTTCCAAGACGGAGGTTCTTTGTAAGCCATCTGGCTTCCATGAGAGATTCGTTCATGAGGCTATCCACATATACAAGCACAGAGACAATTTCAACCGAGAAGATGGATTCTATCTTAGCAATCATTGGAAAGATTTGATAAATCATTTCAGTTCTTGATTGATTGTTCACGCTTACAGTGGCTTTCAGACAGCATACATTATAAAAAATTTCGTCTCCCCCCTCCTCTTTAAAAAAAAATAGATGGACTAGTCCTGGGCAAACTGCCAATCGCTGCGCGTGACGCCAACGTTTTTTTTTATAAATAAAAAAATGTGCCGTTTTAAAAATAAATTTATGCAAACCGACACACCTGATGATGACCGTTTGAGTTATGGTCGAAACGTCGTGAGAATTTTTTATTGTTTTATATATATTTTGTTATTTTGTTGTTTCTCTTCAACGTGACTTTACCGAAAAAAACTAAGAATACTGTCCAGAGACTTAACACTGCCCAGACTCAACACTGCACAATAGCCTCAACACTGCTCATAGACTCAAGACTGCAATATACTCAACATTGGCCATCGACTGAATACTGCCTATAGACTCAACACTGCCCAGAGACTCAACACTGCACCATAGACTCAACACTGCCCACAGACTCACACAGCCCAATGACTCAACACTGCCCATAGACTCAACACTGCACCATAGACTCAACACTGCCCACAGACTCACACAGCCCAATGACTCAACACTGCCCATAGACTCAACACTGCACCATAGACTCAACACTGCCCATAGACTCAACACTGCACCATAGACTCAACACTGCTCATAAACTCAACACTGCCCATAGACTCAAAACTGTCCAGAGACTCAACACTGCCCATAGACTCAACACTGCACCATAGACTCAAAACTGCTCATAGACTCAAGACTGCACTGTACTCAACACTGCCCATAGACTCAACACTGTCCATAGACTCAACACTACCCATAGACTCAACACTGTCCAGAGACTCAACACTGTCCAGAGACTCAACACTGCCCATAGACTCAACACTGCCCATAGACTCAACACTGCACCATAGACTCAACACTGCCCATAGACTCAACACTGCCCATAGACTCAACACTGTCCATAGACTCAACACTACCCATAGACTCAACACTGTCCAGAGACTCAACACTGTCCAGAGACTTAACACTGCCCAGAGACTCAACACTGCACCATAGACTCAACACTGCTCATAGACTCAACTGCCCATAGACTCACTGCCCATAGACTCAACACTGCCCATAGACTCAACACTGCACCAGAGACTCAACACTGCCCACAGACTCACACAGCCCATAGACTCAACACTGCCCATAGACTCAACACTGCCCATAGACTCAACACTGCCCATAGACTCAACACTGCCCATAGACTCAACACTGCCCATAGACTCAACACTGCCCATAGACTCAACACTGTCCATAGACTCAACTGCCCATAGACTCACTGCCCATAGACTCAACACTGCCCATAGACTCAACACTGCACCAGAGACTCAACACTGCCCACAGACTCACACAGCCCATAGACTCAACACTGCCCATAGACTCAACACTGCCCATAGACTCAACACTGCCCATAGACTCAACACTGCCCATAGACTCAACACTGCCCATAGACTCAACACTGCCCATAGACTCAACACTATCCATAGACTCAACACTGCACCATAGACTCAACACTGCCCATAGACTGAACACTGCCCATAGACTCAATACTGCCCATAGACTCAATACTGCCCATAGACTCAACACTACCCATAGACTTAACACTGCCCATTGCCTCAACATTGCCCATAGACTCAACACTGACCCATAGACTCAACACTATCCAGAGACTCAACACTGCCCAGAGACTCAACACTGCACCATACTCAACACTGCCTATAGACTCAACATCACCCATAGACTCAACACTGCTCATAGACTCAGCACTGCCCATAGACTGAACACTACCCATTGACTCAACACTGCCCCTGTACACGAAGCAGTCCCTCCCTAACCTCTTTTAGTTCCTCTTTGAAAGCCTCACCTCTTCTCTACTGCCCATTCTCATCCCTCCCCTCGCCCCTCCACTCCTTCCCGTCCCTCCCCTACCCTCCTGTAACCCATAAGTACCCTTCTAGCCTCAGCCCTTGCATGCCATCTAAATTATTCTTTTTTCATAAGGGTTTTTTAAATCTATGCCTTGAGTAAAGGCACTCTAAAAATATGAAAATACAAGACAAGACAATCTATTTGTCCGTGTCAGGTATGCAGGAGGTCAGGGGTTTGATCCCGACCGTGACGCCTACTGTATATTTGGAGTTTGCGTGTCTCTCTCTCTCTCTTTCATCATCATCACGGTGGCTAGGAGATGTTAACTACCTCACCCGGTATGCAGAAGGTCGTGGGTTTGATCCCGACCCTGACGTCTGCTGTATATTTGGAGTTTGCATGTCTCTCTCTCTCTCTTTCATCATCATCACGGTGGCTAGGAGATGTTAACTACCTCGCCCGGTATGCAGGAGGTCGTGGGTTTGATCTCGACCCTGACACCTGCTGTATATTTGGAGTTTGCATGTTCTCCTTGTTGCCGCGTGGGATTTTCTCCGGGTCCTCCGCGTTTTTCTCTCCACATTTAGAAATGTGCATTGAGATGATTTCGATTATTGTGATGCTACGAATGTCCAAATGATAAGCCACTTTGTGGAGCTATCATTTGTGGCCAGGTCTCTTTTGAACAATAAGTCAATACCCCAGTGGGCTTTGTCTGGCAGGATTGGGAATGGTTTAGTGTTTGTTTTTGTTTGGGTGATTTGTTAACCGTTCTTGTACTTTGCACTGTTATCGCGTTGTTGTGTGTTGTTTGTTGTTGTTGTAACGTTCTTACCCCTTGCCCCTACTGGACATCTGTGAACAATAAACTTCATAGCTTATCAGAGTCCTCCCCCAGTCTAAATAAATATTCAGATTCTGACATTGGCGTTGTACTCGCACGGCCATCTCGCCCCAACGCATCCGTTACGTTCGTGCTTTGCGTGTGCTTTGCGTGTGCGTTCGTGCTTTGCGTGTGCGTTTGTGTGCTTTGTGTGTGCTTTGCGTGTGCGTTTGTGTGCTTTGCGTGTGCATTCGTGTGCTTTGCGTGTGCTTTGCGTGTGCGTTCGTGTGCTTTGCGTGTGCGTTCGTGTGCGTTCGTGTGCTTTGCGTGTGCTTTGCGTGTGCGTTCGTGTGCTTTGCGTGTGCTTTGCGTGTGCTTTGCGTGTGCGTTCATCTTTTCGCGTGCGTCTTTGCGCAGGCTTGGCGGCGGCGGCGACGGCGAAAGAGACGGAGCTGCAAAACGAGACGGAGCTGATCGCGGAGCTCGTGACCCTGCTCGGATTAAGCGGCGACGCCCTCGAAAAGCAGGCACGCACGCAGATCCCTCGCACGTTCTCCCGCGGCACGAGTGTTCCAGCGCACACACGCGTGGCTCCCGCCGGTCGTCGTCGCTCTCAGCTCCTCAACTGCTCTGTCGTGCGCGGAGGGGCGGTTGTTATCGCCCACACCGTATTATGAATGCGATGTCGTGAGAAGTCGATCTGCACTCCGGCCCTCGATGACCATGACTGTGTGAGGATCACCGTGAAAACTCAACACCATCGAATGCCATGTAATGCGTAGAGTTTGGATTCAATTCTGTAAATTACGTCGCATTTAACAACAAATTCTATTGCAGCTACAAGAACGTGTGTATGCACATTGAACTTTCACACTGTACGAAAGAAATTCAACATGGATGCACGCGTTTCTATGTTCTGTGCTGATATCTTTCAGGAGCGGTTTCTGTGCGGCCCTCCATTCATCGGTGACCATCGAAATATAACTGAGAATATAGTGGCCGATTGACGGCAGTGAGCGATAGAGATGGGCATCCGTAGGGGCTGCCTGCCGATCAGTTGGTCACATCTGCTCGCATTTATTTTGTGGCGGCCTAAGTCAAGAAGAGCCCAAATGCAAGTCCTTCCGAAGCTGATAGTTTTTTTTTGCACAACACACACGCAGGCTGAGTGTTTTTTTTGCACGTGTTAGTCACGTGCTTTCATGGTTTTACAGCCTGCGCTCTTCTTCCGTCACAATGGGCTTTTACCGTCATCGTTTACACATTTGACCTACATATGGTGAACTTCTTTCGCACCGTGCTGATCGGAGGTGCGGGCGAAGGGCAACAAACTAAACGCCAAAAAGCAGTTCTGGAGAAACGAGTTCTCAACCTGTCGGATTTAAAAGTGCATAGCTCCGGTGGCTTCCTCATATTGGAAGGCAGGAGCGTTCCAGAGGGCCGCAGAAGCGCTTCTGGTAGCGCTGCACGATGCAGGTGACCGTCTTTGTTCGATGGCTTTAGCCAAAAGCCGCCACCGCTGCGAGGATGACGGAGTGTCGCGTGGTGATGGTGGTTTATGCTCGACCAGATTAGAAAGGTTCATTGGTGGCAAGTGCTTTTGTGTGTAATGAGTGCGACCATATGTAATGTTCTAGATTTAAAGCTTTCGTGACTGCTAGGATCCGTACTCTTTGGTTCTATTGGGTAAAGTCACGTAGGTAAAAAATAAAATAACAAAAATCACGACGTTTCGGCCACAATGTATTGGTTCGGGCCTTCTTTGTTTCATGGTTCATGTTTATGGAGAGCGACGGCCACAATTTAACATTTGAGGTGGTTGTTGAGCAAGTGAATTTTCCGCCGGAGTAGTGGAGTGTACCGCTGTGACATTGCCTCCTTCGTACGACATGATACATGATGAGGTCGTATTATATTCTGCCTCTTTATTTTTGTTACGTGTATTCTCCACAATGACGCTCGCGATTTACGTATTGTAATAGTGAACGTTTCGAACTCGTAAGCTGTAAATATGGACAATAGTAGGCCGTTGTTTTGGCGGTGCCTTAGCTCAAGTCCCAAAAGCTGACACGTACCCACATTATATTTATATTCATTATAATCGTATGCAAATCTTCATTATCATCGTATACAAAACTTCAAGACAGACAGCAGCACATGGTGCAGAGGATTGTGTAAATGTGAAGGGCGTTGGTGAAAAAAATGGGGCAATGAATGTGGGTAAACAGGAATGATTGGTCAGTGTTGGTAAACCAGTTTCTTAACCGAGCTCGGGTGGATACAGTGCAGGAATGCTTTATAAATATATAAAGGTGTGTATGTGTGTGCACCCAGGTGGGTGGGTTGGGGAGGTTGTGGAGCGGTTTTAGCGCGCTGTTACAAGCCCGCCAACCCTAGGTCAATCAATCGGTGCAGCGACTCAACATTTCCGACAATAACCGGCATGTGATGAGACCTTTTTAAATATGTAACCCAGAAAAAAACTTTGTAGAATCACACGCGAGGCAATTTCACGATTGTGCTGGCGAGCAAATTGGCAGGGAACGCAGCACCCAACAATCTCAACGACGGTGAAAGTCGCAGAATAAACATTGTCTAATTTAGCTTTGTTAACATCTCGCCACCGTGGCAAGATGTTAACTACCTCGCCTGGTATACAGGAGGTCGTGGGTAAGATCCCGACCCTGACGGCTGCTGTGTATTTGGAGTTTGCGTGTCTCTCTCTCATCATCATCATCATCACAGTGGCTAGGAGATGTTAACTACCTCACGAGGTATACAGGAGGTCGTGGATATGATCCCGACCCTGACGCCTGCTGCTGTATATTTGGAGTTTGCAGTGTCTCTCTCCCCGTGGTCGCGTGGAGTTTTCTCCAAGTCCTCCGTTTTTTTTCCCCTCCACATTTAGAATCGACATCACGCGTTTCGAGCATTTGGCTGCTATAGATTTACACTTGAGAAGCCACTTCGTTGAGCTATCATTTGTGATGGCCAGGTCGCTTCTGAAATAAGAGCTACATAGATCAGTGGGCCTTACCTGGTCAAATAAAAAACAGTTTAGTTTTATTAAACCTCCTTTCCATGGGCGTACGTAGGTTTTATGTGCTATGAAGTAGGGCCACAGCCTAAAACTTCGCCAGTTATACATCTCTTTTTTATTTTATTTTTAAGGCACGTCAAAGCCAAATCCAAAAGTAAAGCACATAAACCATAGAGCCGCATGAAAGGACGAATCGGTTTTCTTGTTCATTACGAATGATGGCTCAGTCACGCGTAAATACACGGGAGAAAAAAAAGACTGTGGTTATCTGCATAATGTGGTCGAGCGGAATTTCGGCGTTTGCTCGGTAGATGAGCGCACAGCAAAGACTCACTCGAGGAGAGCTGAAGACGGCACAGGAACGTCGTTACGCAAGACACCCTTGAAGGGTTTCAGGTTTCCGGTTTTTCCGAATTTATGCGTTATAAAGTCGCACTCGTTACACACAAAAGTGCTTGCCACAAATGAATCTCAATAACCTTGCTGATCTCGTCAAGGACCGTAAACAATCGCGCGACACTCCGGTTCATCCTCGCGGCAGCGGCTTTTGGCTAAGCCACCGAACAAAGACGGTCACGGCAGTCGCGCACCACTTTCAGATGCGCTTCTGCAGCCGTCTGGAACGCTCTTCCGATATTAGGGAGCCACTGGAGCTATGCATTTTTATATCCATATTTTAAAAGACGTTCCTTTAGAACCGCATTTTCTGTTCGGTTTGTTGGCCTTCGCCCGCACCTCCGAATTACCACGGTTGGCTACGCACGGTGCGAAAGAAGTTCAACATGCATGTATGCAGGTGAAAGCTGGTGATACAACCTCAGGAATTTGCCATGTATTTGTGCTGCCACTCAGAACGGAACACCCTCTCCTTTGTGCCCTCTTCACCCTCAATGCTGCACTCGGAATGCACTAATTTTATAGCCCATGAAACGAATGTACTCGGAGGGGGTGATATGGGAACAATATACGCACGTTGAAATTCCTTCGCAACGTACGTAGCCGACCCCGCTAATTGGAGGTGCGGGACAAGGGGAGCGGGCGGCACTCAACTCCCATTGCGTTGGCAACATTTAAACCGTGACAATCATAATTAAATCCGACTTCTCTCTTTCCCTACGACGACTACCGTTGCAGATCCAACAGGACGTGGACCTGCGCGGAATTTCCTACATCTTTTTCTGCAAATTCATCAACGCGTACATCACGGCCGAGACGCAGGACACCACCCCCAGCCCGGAGGCCTGTCGCCCAGTCCACGTTCGCGCCGCCGCCGCCGCCGCCACTCCCAACAAATTTCCCGCCGCGGACGTCGCCGATTCGAGCGTCGTCACCCCGGTGGTGGCCCAGCAGCCGACGCCCGGTAGCGACGCATCGGTGCGGCCGCCGGAGGTGTTGCAGATCGCCTTGGCGATGGACCTGACCAAGAGGATGGCTGGAATAAACCAGCGGGCGGTGACGAGGATCATGGGCTTCGGAGCTCAGTACCTGGAGGAGAGGTTTTCGCCGTGGATTATGAAGCAGGGCGGCTGGGTGAGCCATGTGCACGCACGCACGCACGCGCACACTCGAGTACGACCAACGTCTAGAAAGTATTTATCGATGTCAATTATTGAGACGCCCCCTCCACCGCCCCCCCCACACCCCCCCACGGCACGTGCAGGGTGGCCCAAAAGTCAGGACAGCCGTAAAGATCCGGCGTATATCCACCGTGTAGCCTTAACAGGATGCTGGAGCAAGTGCTGTTAGCGATCAAGGGGGGTGGGTGGCCAACACCACGCCCGACCGCCTTTATCTCCCCAGTGGCAATGTTCACACATTGCACCAGGTGCTCATTTGAGGGTGAGTCGACCTAGGGGAGGGCCAGGGCCGGTTTAAGTAATCGTCACTGGTGTTGGTCGTGAGCAGGAATCAAACTCGGGCATCTGACTCGCACCTTCTTGAATTGCTTAACCCGATTCCCAAAAATATAACTGGAACATTATTCTTCACATCTCGCCCAACTCCAATAGCATTGGGCAAAGTGAATAGCAAATTTAATACAAGAAAATTAAATTTTCAGGGATGAGGATTTTTTTTATTGTTTGTAGGGCAATGCCGTGCCGGTGCCATGGTCCAAACTTGCTAAGCAACTAAATAAAAGCCCCACAAATTACTCAATAAACTTTATAGCAATTATTCTCCTCCACTGGGGGAACATTTAACAGGCTTTCCTGGGTAACCAAGCGTAAATAACACAAATAATACGTCCACCTGTCAGCTGAATAATGGATCTCACTCTCAATGACTCTGGTAGCAAGTTCATCAACTAGTCCATAACTAGGACATCTTATTTTTGTAGGAGGTACGTTGTCGGTGTCGATATATTGTACATTGGTGCTTCAGTAAAACCTTGGATTGCGAGTAATTTGGTCTGCGAGTGTTTTTCAAGACGAGCAAAAATTTTAAGTAAATATTAATTTGATAAACGAGCGAGGGTCTTGCAATACGAGTAGTAACGTATACGCTTTTGTCTGCCGAGCGTCACGTGATCACAACTGATATGCGAGTGCTTTGATATATACGAGCGCTTTGGATTACAAACACGTTTCCGGAACGAATTATGCTCGCAATCCCAGGTTTTTTACTGTACTTAGCGTTATTTCTCATTAGTAATGCACCCTTCACATTTTTGTCACGTAGTCGCAGACACAGTAGAATTATTCTTACACTAGCTTGTTTGCCCGTCCAAGGATGGGTATATATTACAGTAAATCTAAAATATTCAATAGAAAAATTGTTCAGCTTATGATTAATTATTAAAGGGGGGGGGGGGGGTTGCCCCATGTGGAGTGACGTGACCCGCTAATTGTTATTGGGGAGGCGTGCAACGTGTAGTGACGTTACCCGCTCATGATTATTAATGAGGGGGGGGGGGGGGGCTCGTGGAGTGACGTCACGCGCGGGACACACACACACTTGGCTCACATTAGTAATTCCTGTTGCGATGCTTCCAGAATAAACGATGCTAATGTCAGCGGCCCAGCGGAATGGACCAAGTTGGTGTTGATCACAATTTGAACGTGCTACATTGCCAACCGGTGTGAAAAGTTGTAAACGAATAATAATTTTTAAAAAATCTCTTTCTTCCCCGCAGCACAACATTTTGGATCCCGACAGTGTCTCGGAGTTCGAAGTCGACTGAAGTTTTTGACAAGTGGGATGAAAACACTAATGTAGTTACGAAAAGAGGAGGGGGAGTCAGGTGTTTGGTTGTGCACTGTATGTATGCATGCCTTTATCGGAGGGAAAATGTATCACTGGTGACGGGAACACTGAGGTCAGATGCTTGGCACCTTGATGTCCCCACATGTTTTCAACGCACCCACAGTGCCGTTCTTGCAATGGTCAGCGATGAACATCCAGTCTGTTCTCCTATGAACGCGTGTTGTTTTCACGACGTGAATTGGATATAACGCGATGAATGTACTCGGGAACACTTTTTCACAACGCGGAATGCGAATTGGATATAACGCGAGGTTGGAATAAGCGGCTGTGCGGCTGCCTCGGCGTAGCATCTAAACAGGGCGGGATGCTGCTGGATGCTTCTAGATGCTACCCACGATCCTCAAGTCTTTGCTCAGCCTGCGTACGCATCTCCACACGTTGTCGCAAACCGTGCTTTAGCCTCTGACGTATGTTTAGTTATTATAACGCGAGATTTTTCCATAACGCGCGGTGTTCCTCAGGAAACGCGACCCACCGCCGCGTTCGAAGAGAACAGCCGTGTGTCGCTCCCGAGTGCCGATGCCGCGTGCGAGTGAGCCGCCGGCCATGGCGGTGCCGAGCGTTGACAAAATTCTTAAGTGATGGGACGCGCTTCACAGTTATGCTACACATTGACCAGATGTGATGAGAGAGGACCCCTCCCCCCCCAAAAAATATTTTAATGCAAATTAACCTGCTGCTGTGATGATTTATTTTTTTAGATAATTCTAATCGAATTTGGTGTTCACTTGGGTGCATTTTTTTATGCCAAGGCTCCTACATAATGCTCCAAGGGAATGACCCAAAGTTTATCAAACTTGTATTTTTAAAATTTTGATTTAAAGCTTTCGCGACTGCAGGGATTCATATTCTTGGCTCTTTCGGTAAAGTTTTATGTTTTTATTATTTTATTGTTTCCCTTCTACGTGACTTTGCCGAAATAACCAAGAATTTGTATTTTTTTAATTTTCTTTGTACATTTACGGGGAAGCCATGTTTTTTCCTAAAAAAGTTCAAGTTAATTCCGACCAGCGCGAACACGCAGCGTACCGAGTTGCCGCGCCCTCGGTGATGTCCACGGTGCGTTTGTGGGAATTCTTACGTCGATTTCATTTTCCTAAAGGAAAAAACTGCCGCAGGGACAGAGGCCTTTTTACTTGAAATGGTTTTCAACGGGACACTGTGAATGCACCACGACTTTTTGCGGATCATGCCACTGAAACTCGTAAAAAAAACGCATACAGCCTGTGTTTTGAACGTTGTTGGGATCTTCCGTGCTATTAGTCGTCCGTGCCTTAATATACTGTTTACTACTGAACATAATGTTTGAATGCGTTTGTACGTGGCATATGGGCGTAATGTAATTTTAAAATGATGCTGTATTGCACGGAGCAATGAGTTTGCGAACTCTGCGACGCCGACGCCGCTGTCGGTCGTTTTTGTTGTTTTACGTTGAGGCTGCGACAAAAGACCTCAAAAGTGACAATCGGACGTCGGTTTCTGTGGCACTGAGGCTGTGATTTATCCATCACCTCCGGTGGTCGACGAGACCAGCGTTCTCGCCCGCCCGAATCCATTAATGAGTGGAGCGTTTTTACGTTTCTATTTTCTTTCCCCCCACCGCCATGGCGAACGCGGTCATGGGAAATGCCTCCAATTATATTGTGATTTTCGCTGTTTTATCAAAGCGTTATTTAAATACGACCACATGTTGGTTCAATTTTCAGGAGTATAATTGGGAACGTAGCCACCGCCATTTCGGGTTAATTCGCAACAGTGAGGCGAAACATCCCGAAACGTTGGTTAACGTGTTTCTCGGCATACTTCTTGAAGGGCTGTCAGCTTTATTATTAAGTCGTCAAATTCGCTCAAACTTAACCGTTGACTTTTATCCCACAATGGGTGATGCATATTTAATTAGCTTTAATTGTGTGGGCTTGTTAAAATATTTCTCTCCTCGGTTATCAATGCATGAGGGTTCCACTTTTGTGTATTGGGTAATCGTGCAAGTGTTTGTAAATGTTAAAACTGGATTACGATGTTTATGGTACGAATGTTAGAACCAAACGACGGAAAAGGCAACTAACAAAAATGAACTTTACACGTGCTTTAATAACCCTGAGGAAGGAATTTTCTTTTTTAAATGTTCATTTATTTCCCCCCCCCCCCCCCACACAAAGTTCACGCAGCGAGCCAATCGCGTACGAGGGCGAAACTGACGCGCGCTACGGTTAAAGAGACTCGACTACACGCGAATGTCAGTCCAACTTTGGTCGGGCAAGCAAACACGGCAACAGCTTCCAGGGCCGCTTTCACGCGACGCGAACAACACACGACGCTGAGATGCTACGCGTGTGCAATCGCAATGCGTTTTACTGCATTGGCGTGAAGTGTGTGTTTGGCATTAATGAGGTAGTCGCGAAATTGTTGAGCTGAATATGCGATCTGTTTTACATGTGTGAAGTGTGTTGAAGCCGTCAAAGGTGTTTGACCCCCTTACCGAGTACAGTTTGATAAGGATGCCCTGTTGCATAGCTGTCAACCCCTTATCAGTGCCCTGCCTTATTACAGACCAATTCAGACCTTATTGGTCACCACGTGCCCCTTATGAATCTCAATGTTTATCCTACAAAGTTCCATCACAAGGGCTGTACGCCGTATGGCCTGCAAACTCGATTTCCCTGTACAAGAATATGGCGTAAACCGTATGGGTTGACAGCTGTGCTCTTGCTACCAGAATAGTGGATGAATGGCTTGGAGTACACGTTCAACCTCCATCCACCTCATATATAAAACTAGAGCATCATTCTTCATCACATCTTGCCCTACTCTAATAGCATCTATGCAAGTGAATAGCAAATTGAATACAAGAGAATTACATTCTCAGGGATGAAGACTTTTCGTTTATTTGAAAAGTAAAAAAAACTAGTAACGTTTAATATCGAATGTTTAACTTAGTTTGTACTTAGCCAATGGATTCAACACGGGTGACAAATGGGTGAGAATGTCATTGCTATGTTTTACACTTGAAAATGTGAGCATGTTGAAGAGGAGTGGGTGGTGATTGATGGTGAATGTGTTTTTTTTACGATTATAATTTTTCATGCTTTTATAAAAAATAACATTTAAAAAAATGCCTTCTGATTCGGAGGCACAAGTACGGGATGTGTACAGCATTTCCAATTAAAATGCATCGCGTACAAATGACAAACTGTCGTGCTTTTTTTTTCCCGGAGTTGACGGCGAGAATTTGGAGGCGCGACGAGCGAATATCAAAAGGCCCACACCAAAGTCTCTCGTCGCTCAATCTACGGATTCATTGCGGGTCCGGCACTTGAGAATGAAAGACACCAAAGCCTGGTCTCGGAAACCGTGACAATGCCTATAGTTCACATCCAGCCGATCATCGATTGACCGACACAGCGATTATGCGGTGGTCACGGGCCGATCCGGCTAAGCCGTTCCAAAGGCTGTGGCACGGTCCGGCGATCGGCACCGTGTGTGCGTGACAGACAAAAAAAAGTAGCTACGCTTGATTTCAATGTCAAATATAATCGCCGCATTACACACTGCGTACATACAGCTTAAGCAATGAAAATACTGCACGTATATACGTCACACCATAAAGAGTCTTCGGGATTGGAGTGGTAAATACGGTACAGTAAATACAGTAATTAAAAAAAACTATATTTATTTTCGTCTGTGTACGTTTATTTATGGAAATTTCATATAGTAAACAAAGTTAACGCTAAAAAACAATGAAGATGCTCACCGCTTCGCGCACTTTCAGATGCGCTTTTGCGGCCGTCTGGAACGCTCTTGCCTTCCGAGCCACTGGAGCTATGCACTTTAAAATCTAAATTGAAAACTCGTTTCTTTATAATTGCTTTTTGCGTTTAGTTTGTTGTCCTTCCCCCGCACCTTCATATAGTACGGTGCGAAAGAAGCTCAGCATACATACGTCAAATCTGTAAACGATGACGATAAAACCCTATTGTAGCAGAACAAGAGTTCAGGATTGAAAACCATAAAAGCACGTGAAGAACACTTGTGTAATGACAGGGTGACACCGGTCGGCCGGGAGTGGTAACTACGGTCATAGCTGCATTACATAATGCCTTATTATAAGGGGGGCATATCTGGGGTAAAGGTGAAAGGCGGAGTCAGTCGAGAAGCTCCGGGAACAAGCTCGAAGGTTCTGGAAAGGGGGCGTGGCCAGAGGTGGAGCTTGGCCGCGCCGGGACAGATATAAGAGGGACCGAACCAGAGGTTCGTGGCTGTTACGGGTCCTGGGTGCGTCGCTGCTCATCGTCATCTCTTCGTCTCCGACCACGTGGCTGATCTTCTGGAAGACTCTCTCCGTCGCCGTCGCTGGTGCTGGTCGAACAAGCTTGCGTAGCGAAGCCGGAGATGGGGCTACGTGTTTGGATCGCCTATGTTTAGCTGCGTTACACAATGTATCGCCCAGTGTGCTCTTAATAAATAAGACGCCTTCTACTCGACGTGTCTCGGAAGTCGTTCACTACACTTGTAAAGAAAAACACAGCCTGTGTGTGCAAAAAACATCAGCTTCGGAAGGACTACATTTGGGATTTTCTTGATTTTGGTCGCCAGAAAATAAATGTGAGCACATGTGACTAGCTGACTGGCAGGCAGTTCTACAGATGCCAATCTCTCTATCACTCACTGCCGTCAATTGGCCACTGTAATCTCACTTATAATGTTGATGGCCACCTATGAATGGAGGACCACACGCAAACTGCTCATGAACGATATTGGCACAATGCACAAAGGCCGTGTCCTTTTTGTTGTTGTTGTACACGTGTCTTGTGTGCGTGTGTTTTGAAATGCACCATGCCTGATGCTTGCAGTAAAGGATAAATAGCCACAACCACCACCACTGGGAACACCCTCTTTGAAATGAAGGCACGAGTCGGTCTCCTTACCCCGCGGATCTCGTGACGCACGGTGCGCAAACCTCCCCGTCTTCCACCCCGGCTCCACCCACGGATCATTGGACCGCGGGCGCGCAAATGCAGTCTCGGCAGCGTGCGTTTTGATTCTCATTCTTGCACATTGGCAGCACGGTGTAACAACGACGACGACGTGTTCGGGAGCCAATTGCCAATGTTTGAGCTCAGCTGAGCCACGCCGAAGGGGGCTTTTGGGAGGGAAAGTTCGCGTCGTCGTTCTTACTCCTCTCGTTGGAGGAGCGCACACCGCGGTGGGTTTAAGTTGCGGTCCATAATTTGGGTCGCACGGCCACAATGGCACGACTTGGGGGGTGGCAGCTTGTTTTAAATGTTGCCATTTGTGAAGGAGATGCGGTGCAGCAGCAGCAGTCGGCCTGTTGTTGATGTTCCAATGCGGTTGATTCTGAAGAAAAAATAAATATAGATTGAAAACTCATTGCGTAGGAGTTGTTTTTTTGTGTGCGACATTTCTTGTCCTTCCCCCGCACCTCCGATCAGCACGTACGGTGCGAAAGATGTTCAATATACGTACCATGGTTTACACCAGTATCTTCGAGAAGGAATATCAAAGTCAATACAGAGACTCCTCTATGTACGAACATTCGACTTACGAATTTTCAGAGATACACACAAACCTGTCCCATATGTCCAGTTGCCTGTTCGAAGCGAGCGTCGTAAGTTCAACCACCCCGCAATAGACGGTGGTGATGGCATCTACATCTACAGAACGTGAAGAACCAGTGACATTTACATTTGCAGAATGTGAAGAACCAGTGGCATTTACATCTACAGAACGTGAAGAACCAGTGACATATACATCTACAGAACGTGAAGAACCAGTGGCATCTACATCTACAGAACGTGAAGAACCAGTGGCATCTACATCTACAGAACGTGAAGAACCAGTGACATCTACATCTGCAGAATGTGAAGAACCAGTGACATTTACATCTACAGAACGTGAAGAACCAGTGGCATTTGCATCTATAGGAGATTATACAACTTTTAAAGCCACTCCCCGTGTGTAACGACAATAGAGTCAACCTGCGGGGTGAGTGGACTAGTGGCCACGGCAGGTAATGACAGGGGAGTCAGCCTGCAGTGCGAATGGCCTAGTGGCCACGGGAGATAATGACAGGGGAGTCAGCCTACAGTGCGAAGAGACTAATGGCTACGGGAATGATTGAGAATATAAGCGTGGACAGGTGACGGAAGAGGACGGTAGAGTCTGCTGGTAGAGCGAGCGGTCGAGAACCAGCGATCTGGAGCCAGCGAGAAGGTTTGGGAAGGGGGTCGTGGCCTCCGTCCGTATATAAGGGAGATGCGCGGGAGACTCGGGGCTGTTGCAGTGGGGTCTCCGACCTGTTCGAGTAAACGTGTCTCTTCAATAAAGAAACCATCTCAAGACAAGTGTGTCAAGTCGTCATTACACGTGTTTCATGTACATGCCGTACAACATGTTTGGAGTCGACATGAGTAAAGTTGGACTTACGCACAGACCTCTGGAATGATAGTTTTTTTGGCTGTCCGCCTGATGATACTCGTTGTATTTACTGGCGAAACGTCGTACATAGATTGTAAATGTTGTGGATTTCCTCTCCGACACACCAGTGTGCTGTACAAGTAACGAATTGGCATGTTCTGTTTAAATGACAACCCTTACTAATAGGCTGTGCCGGTGGTGGCGGGTTTAATGACACATTTATATATTTTCGCGATCTAACAAAAAAAAACCCCTATATTATGGATGATATTGGTCGCGAAAGCCAACTGCGTGTTAAACAGACCTCTGGAACCTAACTCGTTCGTAAGTAGAGGAGTCCTTTTAAAGAGGCGTGCGATGATGCTTGGGGACTCCAATGGACATCTGGGAATGTTTCAACCGCTGGGTTGAAACGCAGCGACAGGCGGCGGCTGGGGAGGGCGGAGGTCGCACCCCGTGTCTCTTCTCCGTGAGTTGCGCCATCTGGGCACGTGGCGAGCGCAGGGGAGAAACTTCTGGAACGCAGAAGGCGACTTAAGCGGTGCCCTGCGGGGACGTGACGGGCACGCGGCACGGGCCTGCCCCGGTCTCGCCTCGGCCTCGATCCTTGCCGGGTGCTCGGCACGCCAGCTGTAGACGCCCTTCATAAGTAACCCGACCACCACAAGCATTTTTATTACCACAAGTACCCCCACCACCACCACCACAAGCGCGCACGCCACCACAAGCACCCCCACCACCACTGGCGCCTCCACCACCACTAGCGCCCCCACCAACACAAGCGCCCCCACCAACACAAGCACCCCCACCACAAGCACCCCCACCACCACAAGCACCCCCACCACCACAAGCACCCCCACCACAAGCACCCCCACCACCACAAGTACCCCCACAACCACAAGCACCCCGACCACCACAAGCACCCCCACCACCACAAGCACCCCGACCACCACAAGCACCCCCACCACCACAAGCACCCCCATCACAAGTACCCCCACCACCACAAGCACCCCCACCACCACTGGCGCCCCCACCACCACAAGCACCCCGACCACCACAAGCACCCCGACCACCACAAGCACCCCCACCACCACAAGCACCCCGACCACCACAAGCACCCCGACCACCACAAGCACCCCGACCACCACAAGCACCCCCACCACCACAAGCACCCCCGGCTTCGCGGGAGGAGGCATTACAGACGAGACGGACAACACAAACGGGAAGGGACAGTACAAACGAGACAGACGACACAAACTAGATTCGACAGCGCAGACGAGACGGTACAAAGGAGGTCACTGGAGTGCAAACGAGAGAGGCATGACACACGCGGGTCACAGACATGCGAGCGGAGTGCACGTGTTAAGAGGATTCAGTGCTTTTGTGATTGATCCACCTGCTGCGTTTGCAGTGGCACAGGTAACTAGAAAGAAAGGAAGGATATGAATTCCTGCAGTCAGGAAAGTGAAAAGGGTAACAATTTGTTTTGTTTACCGGGTAAGGCTCTCTCTCTCTCTCTCATAAGCGACCTGGCCACCACAAACGATATAGCTCAACGAAGTGGCTCATCGTCGTTTGGAAAATGAATCGCAGCCAAATAATCTGAACGCCTGATGTTGAGTTCTAAATGTGGAGGGGAAAACCGGCAGGGCCCGGAGAGAAAAGAAAAACACGCGACCACGGGGAGAGAGACACGAACAAACTCCAAATATACAGCAGCAGCAGGCATCAGGGTCGGGATTTAAGCCACG